TGTAAGTACAAGCCCACTGTTTAGTATGGTCCATGAGCTAAGAATGGTTGAGCTAAAATTCAAAATAATATTTCATGACATGGAAATTACATGAAATTCAAATGTCAGTGTCCATAAAGATTTTGGAACACGGTGATACTTGTTTGTTTAGAAGTTGTCTATTTTTGCTTTCATGCTACAACAGCAGAATTGAGTAGTGTCAACAGAAAGTAGCCCACAAAGCTTAAAAGATTATCTGGCCCTTTAAAAAGTTGGCTAATCCCTATCTAGCACCAGATATATCTTCTCAAATTGCTACACCTCCTCCTTTAACTTCTATTCAACCTGTTCTTTTGTTGTGATTTTAAACCAGCTGTCTCATATATACACTACTATGTATAAAATAGATAAATAATGAGAACCTACTATATAGCACAGGGAACTCTACTCAAGGCTGTGTGGTGACCTAAATGGGAAGGAAATCTAAAAAAGAGGGGATATGTCAATATGTATACATATAACTGATTCACTTTGCTGTACAGCAGAAACTAGCACAACATTGTAAAGCAAATATACTCCAATAAAAACTAAAAAAATAAAAAACCAGCTTCATATACATATGAAAAAATAAATAAATAAATAAACCAGCTGTCTCAAGTCCCAAAGTGGATAATATAAAAACTTTTTAAATAAAAAAGTAAAAGAAACGTCACCAGAAAAGGATACAAGAGTCAAAGAAATTTCTTCCATAATTGCATATTTACTGAAAAATACATCAGAGGTAACGTAAACATGACCTTCTAAAGCAAATGAAGAAATAAGAATATACTTTAACTGAAATTCTAAAAAATTTTACTAAAAAGAAATTAAATGTAAACCATAAAGATATTATGAAGATACCTGTTCCCAGCATTTCCAGGTTAGACTCCTTCACTTTGGTCACAGAAGCATGTCAGGAGGTAATGGAGCCTGGCGTAGACAGTACATCCTTCACACAAATGAATTGTGGCAGGGGGTGGCACAAGGGAGTTCACCTGTATTTGGTGAACTGCCACAGTATTATTCTCTAAGGCTACATAACAAGTATCTAACAACTAAAGGGTTAGGAGATATCAGATTTTTCAGGATTATCTTCTTCCAAACTCTGTTATATGCCTTTTGTGTCAAAGTTATTGCTTTCAATATTTTTCTTCAATGCTCTAAAGATATATTTTTTAAAATTAGATTTGTGGAGTTTTTTCTAAGTCCATTTGTTACATTCATCAGGGGGTTCTGTCTGGAAGTTTCCTACTGAGGCAAATCATACCATGTGACCTCTCTCAATTCCTATCCAATCCCTTCCTCCCCTGTTTTATAAAATGCAATGAGGCTAAAATAAATCAAGGAGAACAAACTGCAAACTTGTCACCATATTGCCACTTTCTGATCTCGTCAGTGACTAACCAACTAGACCTTAAAGGCTTAAAAGGTGCCTATATTCTACCATACCCTAAGATAGTGGTGGGAAGATGGACAGTAATAGAAGCTCTTAATCTTTCTGTGTCATGGAGAAACTTAGTCTGGTGAATCCTATGGACCCTTTCAGAATAATACATTTAAGTATTTAACATAAAATACATAGGATTACAAATGAAGTCAAGCAAATTGAAATCATCACAAAATATTTTAAAAACCAAATATAATATAGTAATATATGTGCTTCTTTACAATTAGATTCAATGCCCAGAATACTGATGGGTCTAATAACTACCACACACAAATCATGGCATTGTAGAGTTCATTATATAACTATATGTATTTGTCAAAAGGCAAAGAATTATACACTAAAATTTGTGACTCTTTATGTTGACTATACCTTAATGAAGTTGACTTATAAAAATAAAAACTTACAGTGGTAGTCTAATAACGATAAGTTTGAGGTTTTGATAAAATTTTGAGACAGCTCTAAGAAAACTGTGATGTGAAAATGTCATTTATTTTAGTGACAAGGCGACAGGTGTTTCTAAGTCTACTAATTCTACTGTGGCTAGTTTTACTAATCATTAAACTGTTACATTTCAGTAGGAGGTTAACAAAAATAAAGATGGGAATATCTTTCCCAATTTGGGTTGACGGCCCCCATGAAATATATACACGGAATGTATACACACAGTACACAGAAGGTAGTGAGGCTAGAGAGTAGGGAGACTACTTGCAGAGCAGAGATACACAGAGTATCTGTGGACATAGCTGAGGATAAGCAGCCCTTAGGAATCAGAAGGGTCTGCACGCCATAGTCACGCCTCCTGCTTACTTACTCTCACGAGGACATCCAGTCCTCAACTTGTATACAGCCAGCCCAAGAATTCTCCAACAGTAAAGAACCAAGGGAAGTTACAGAGGTCTACTTCCAAGCTCCCAAGTTCTTCATGGGCATGACGTTCCCCTGTATCACAGGTGCTAGCTTTGCCATGGCAACACCAAGCATGCTGCCAAACACCGGGCTACAACTAGGAATGGATCCTCCTGGTTCAGTCTAGGACCATATCCTTCCCCCAAACCCCAACGTCCCATAGTCCAGTAGAGTCAGTGGAAACAATGGGCATAAAAGTGACGCGGGGGGGTGTTGGGCCAACAAGGAAGGGCTTCTATTGTTATCCCTATCAATTCCATACAAAAACCCTCTACCAGGTGTAAAATACTTCCTAATTTCCATAAGTATATACATGGTAGGAAACACAAATGTGACAATTATTTTATAAAGTCCCAAACCACAAGAGAATTATAGTACCTAAAAAGTATCGTTCAGAGGAATTAGTGATTAATTCTGTAGCACAGTGGAGGTCTGTACTTGCTTTTGAATATGAACAGAATTTTCCCTGCTATCCAAAAGGAAAAGCATTGCAGATAGAGGGAAAAGCATGTGCAAAGGTGGAGGAGAATGGGAGGCAGGCAGGAGTAAGAGTACCAAAGGCTTTGTATGCCATGCTAATGAGTGACGTGACTCAGTCTGGCGCAGCAAACACCAGAAGGAGCAGAGGGCAATGCAGAGGATGAAATGGAGGTAATTAAAATGAAGGTTCGGGAATTTCCTGGCAGTCCCGTGATTAGGACTCCCCGCTTTCACCGCCGGCGCCCGGGTTCGAGCCCTGGTCGGGGAACTAAGGTCCTGCAAGCCGTGTGGTGCGGCCAAAAAAAAAAAAGGCTAAAAGACCAATAAAGAAAATCCTGGAACTTTTCAGCTGAAAGTCAGTGCTGGAAAACAGAAAAGGCAGAGATGGAGAAAAAGAGGAAAGTTTTCCTTAAAAAAAAAAAAAAAAGGAGGGGGGAAATCAAGACAGTGATTTATTGGATATATGGGAATAAAAGAGGGGGGACCACAGAAGTCTTTAGTTTTCTGACCTATGGTCTTTCAGCTTTATTTAAGGAAGCCAACATCCAGTTGTTAATATTGATCTTGCACGTAAATTGCAGATTGGTATTTCTGAAGAAGAGCCAGTTTTCCTTCGGGCTGTGCAAACAGTCTAACATGGATCAAAGTTACCTTACGACCACAAGAGGCAGGACATACATGACAAATACACTGCTTACCGTTAAGTCTGGGGGACTAATCTTTGCAATCATTAAAACCAGAACATTTACAGTTAAGGACTTTTAACTTTATAAATTCTGTACCTATCAAATCTGTGGTAGGTTTCTCTTTCAATCTTCCTAAGTCCATCTAACAAACACTCTGGATAATTACTTATAGAAAAATACATTAATAATTTTTCTAGCACCACTCCACAAGTACGTACAAAGAAGGCCAAAGAGCACTGCATTCTCATTAGGTAAATATCCCAACATAACAACTCAGATGAAAACTTAAGAAAAATAAAATAAATATTACTTTGCCCGGAAAACCCATAGTAGGAAGTACTAAGACAAAATTAATGTGAGGAAAGATTTCTTTTTCTTTCTTTCTTTTTTTTTCTTTTTTTGGCCACGCCACACGGCTTCTGGGATCTTAGTGCCCCGGCCCGGGATGGAACCCAGGCCACCGCAGTGAAAGCACCGAGTTCTAACCACTGGACATCCAGGGAATTGCCGTAGCAGAGTTCGATGTCTATTTCCTACACAGAACACCACCAGAGCTACAGAAGTGACGGGCCAAATTTGCAGAATGCTGACATTACAAGTGTATTTTACTCTACTTTGCACTTCTTCACAAGGTGCGGTTGAAAGGGGGAGAAAGGCATCATAGGCCTTCCTATCCCGGGGGCCTCTGGAAAGAGCCACCCGCTCCCACTTCCTCGGACCCAAAGCATCAGGGTCTTTCAGCTCCAGCTCGCATTCTGCTCCACCGCAGACCCGAGGCCGCCGTCCTGCTCGCTCTTCCCGCGGCCGGGAGAGCAGACCCCAACCCCCTTCGGGCCCAGGCCTTTCTCCACCTTCCACCCGGCCCGGGGGACACGAGGGCGGCCCGGGCCACCTGACAGGGCGAAGCGCCAGGGCCACAGACCCTCCTCAGACGCCACCCGCCCCGGCCCCACACCAAGGGCGACACCGTCCCAACCTCCTCCTCAGCTAAAGCCGAACGACCGGCACCCACCTGACACCCTCGGAGGAGAGAGCGCGTGTGCGGAGCGGGCTGAGGACTTTCTGAAAAGCCAACTCCACCGCCCGGCCGGCGCGTCCCCAGCCCCCCGCACCCCACCGCAGTCCGCGGAAAGGCTCGGCGTCCGCGACACAGACAGCAAGGGTCGGGACGAGGTCCTTCAGGTCTCGAGAGCCACGACATCACACCTACCTCACGACGTACTCTCCTCACCGGACCGACCCTGCGGGTAGGTCCAGCCACGGGCATCCACACATCTCCGGGGCCAACGTCAAACTACCACTGGGTTCCCACGCGCACCGCATCGCGCCTGCGCACAGCCCAGCAGCTGGACAGGCTGTCAGTGCGCATGCGCCGGACTCCAGCTCTCCCCCCCACCCCGCAGATTTTGAACCCTCCGCCCAAACCGGCCGGCGCGCGCATGCGGGTTTACGGTAGCTGGTCTCTCCCCACCCCGGCGAGAAGCTGCGGCTCTGGGGTTTGCAGCCGGACGAGGCGGAAGTCGCTCTGTTCCTTCACAGTCCCTCAGTCTGGCGGAAATTAAAGAGCTGTAAGAGAGGTTCCGGAGCTGGCCTGGCGTGTAGGTGGCCAGATGGAGACCGAGACCGCACACCCGCCACTGACCCGCCGCCCGCCGCTGGCCTCTTCCTGGGATGCCGCGTGCGGAGTCCTGGCCCAGAGTCTCCATCTCACCCGATCTGGTCTCGGCGCCCGGGACGCCGACTGGGAGGAGCTGCTGGCGCCGCCTGCCACCGGGTGCGCCGGGCCGGCGGGGACTGGGGTTGTGCTCGGTGCCAGCCACGCCCCTGGAGGAGCCGAGATGGGAGGCGGGGGGCGTGAGGGTAGAGGGTCTGGACCCGGAGCCGAGCCGGTGACGGGTCTGTGCGGGCGGCGAGGGCAAGGAGGCAGGACCCGGGTGGCGGGAGGGTGGGGGCGGGCCCGCGGGAAAGAGGAGGCGACTCCGGCGTGAGCGTCGGGCGCAGGGGACGGGGGGCAGGTGACCTGAAGACTCGGCTTTATACCCCCTTCCCCCTTGTGTCCGTCACGTCGGCTCCTGAGGCCCCCTGTCGGGATAAGAACCGCCTTTCTGTCCCGAAACAAAAACCTCCTGTCGACCAAAAGAGGCATTAAAAAAAAATCCAGATGTCGAAAATCTTCCTCAGCTTAGTTTTGAAAATGGCACACTTTGGTCCTTTATTCCATTCTGCACCCCGCCCCACCCCCACTTCTGAACTGTTTTTTAATTTACACTAGCTGCCCAGTACATATATTTCATTAACTGGACAGGCAATTATAGGAAGTCGCTTAGAATGTATTACAGAAGTCAAGGGAAAAGAGAGTGGAGAGCCCTCACCTCTAAAGCATCATTTCCTTGGGAATTCTGTATTGAGCATTTCGTCAGTGCTTTGCAAGGCGCTTGGTCTCCAAATGCAAATGTAAATGAGTAGGATAACATGTCAACCCCTGTGGCCCATTAAGTGGGTTAATGACAGTGTTCAGAGAACTGTATAATATTCTTCATTTTCTTTTCAGCCAGGATCTGGTGATTTTGAAAAGGAACGTGAACAGCCAAGATGAAAACCCCTGCTTCCTTTACCTGAGATGTGACCCTCCTGGAGGTGAAGAAATCGTTTCTATTGGCATTTTAAGTTCAGCAAGAAATATGGAAGTATACTCAGGAGAGGAGTACTGTGGAACCAGTAGGGGCAAGAATGTTTGTAATGTTCTGGATAACAGGTTTGTGATGTATGCGTGTGGAAGCGTTCTTCTGAAGTAGTGTTTTATTTTCTTGAGCTTTTGTGAAATTTATTGATTCTCTGACCTTGGTGCCAGATACTAGGGGAGAGAAGATAAAAACATACCAGCAGACATAAAAGTTTAGACCTTTAGGGATCTTAAAGACAGTCTAGATCAGCCTAGTTGTTTTTATAAACGTGGAAATTGAGAGCTAGTGGAAGAGAGAGTAGTTGATAAAAGATCATAGCTAGTTAGTGGAAGACTATGATCAGATGAAGTTCTGGTAAGTGTTTCTTGTCTGTTTTCTTTAACTCACAGCGATCTGTTTTCCAAAAATTAAGTTGTCTATCAGTCTGGAACTTTGAACATTTTCCTGTAGGAAACTCTTTACACATAGTGCGTGAGCCCCACACTGTGCCATACCAGTATACTTATTTAACCCATTTTTATACTTCTTGATTTTTTTTTCTAATTTCTTACAAAGATTCTGACCTAATCTCTCCTTAATATGAATCAAAATACGAAGTGTTTTATATACCGTGCATGTTGGACATAATGGGTATGTTATTGAGCTTTACAGTGTCCTCTGTGCTGCGTGAGAATACATTTGATATCTAATTTCATTTTCTCATATAGCTTGTAAGTGGCAAATGTTGTCTTTGTAGTCAGTGCACTTCAGTAGGAAGTCCCAGCTGTTTATCCCTCACAAGGAAAACTGAATCTCAGGATTTAAATATTGTCCTGGAAACCTTTATTTTAAAATGTAACTATGAAAAGTGATAGTGTGTGAAATTTTTTATAAGTTAATTCCTTTTTATTTTTAGTGAACATGAAAAGATTATTTTGTACAAAAAATATCTAAAATTGGAGTCTTCCACACATGCTTGTAAAATAAAGGTAAGTCATTCCTAAATGTCATTTAGTCATTCCTAAGCTAATTTAAAAACTACAGTTGTCTTCCTATTATATATACTTATTTTCTGTAGGTTTGGTAATGTAGTTAGTCCAACTTGGTCCCTGGTTTTAGTTCAGAAATACTTAGTAAACATGTAAAAAGAAATTCTTTTCTAAAAAATTGTCAACATTTTTCTGTTAAAATTTGACCATTTATTAGCTGTGGTTGTAACCAAAAGTGGTGTCCAGCTGCTCGCCACTCAAAAGCCAATAAAGAGGCACTGTTGGTGGACAGGAAAGTTTGCTTTGTTTTGGATGCCGGCAACAGCAGGGGTGGGGCGTTGGGGGTGCCGGACTCCTGTCTGAAGGCCGACTCCTCCCACTGACCATCATGGGGCAAGAGCTTTTATAGACAGAGGGAGCGGGCTGCATGCAGAAACAGCACAGCCACCTCTGACAGTCATCTTGAAATGGGTCATGTGGTGGCCTGACCAGCATCATCTTCATTGTTCTTCAGTTCCAGGGTTGGTTTATTCCCTTTTCCTTGAGGCCAGTTCTCGGAATTGTGGCAACTTCTGTCGTGGCTACAGTCTGGTCATCATGTAGTTAACTTCCTCCACCTAGTGAGGGTTCCAGTATCTATAAGACAGCTCGCAGGATGTGGCTCAGAACATGATCTATAGCCCTTGAGGAGGAACTAAAGGTCCTTGACTATGCTTAATGACTATTATTATTTGGTCTCCTTTGACTGTTTTCCTTTGTTTCTGCAGTTTCTCACTTGTCTGATTAAACTTATTCTTTGGCTAAAGTTTTTCCACAGACCAAAGGCAGGCTGAGGACAAGGGGGGCAAGGACCATAGGGTCCTGCTCCATTTCCTAGTCATGTCATGTACTGTTGTTAGTACAGCAGTATAGTACTTTTGAGCCTTAAAAAACTGAGTTAAAAACATTTTTTATCTTTATTTAAAACTTAGGTGCCAAGAAAACCGCAAGCAGTTTTGGTCCCCAAATCTAGAAGGATAGAACACAATCAGGGAGGATTCAGACATGGGTACCACAAAGTTAAAGGAGTTTGGATTGGTGCCTTCAGCCTGAAAAATATTATTAAGGTGAACTTTACTAAGGTCATCAGATCTAAGGAAATGGTACTGAGCTGGAAATTGAAAGCCCTATTTTTTTTTAAATTTTTATTGGAGTAGAGTTGATTTACAATGTTGTGTTAGTTTCAGGTGTACAGCAAAGTGAATCAGTTATACATATATCCACTCTTTTTTGTATAAGCCCTGACTGTTAAATGAGCGCTCTTGCTGACTAACACAATAACCTTGGGCAAGTTCCTTCACCTTTTTTGACCTACCTTATGGGTAATATTAGGGAACTGAAGAAAATTCTTGGATTGATTATTTTTAATTTCTCAAATTCTGTGCTGATCATTACTTACAGAAGAGCACACAACTGATTATCCCAAGATGTTGTTTTAGGTGTATATACTAATAGCTTCTGAAGTCATTTAAATAAGGCAATGCATTCATCCTACAAATACTGGAGTGCCTGTTGATGCCAGATACTGTACTTGGCATTTAGGAATTGGCAGTTATGAAATAAATTGGAATGAAGGCCTCACATCACAAATATTATAGTGGGCAACACATAATAGGTTGACTCAGTGTGTAAAATAGGTACTACATTTGCTAGTGAGAAAGGCTTAGGGGTTAAAAAGCAGAACAGGGATAATATGGAGGCTGGAATGTGGGTGTTTACATTTCATGAGGTATTTACTTACTTGTTGATGACAGTCACATCTTTGGTGCCACACTGAGTTTTTAGATCATGGGTCTGTATTCGCCTGTGTCTTTGTGTGATATATGGGTTTGTTATGTCTGTGAAGGCGAATGGTATTTGAAACTGTGCTGTGGAAGTACCAGGGAGTGAAAGAGTGTTTCATTTAGGGAAATCCTTGGGTTTGTATGAAGGCTTCTTCTGGGCCAATAGTATATGTAAGTTAAAAGTAATAGTTACTGATGCATGCGTTTGAGCACTTACTCAATGATAAGTACTGGAAATGTTAACACATAATCCTCATAACAACCATGTGAACTCATTTTACTCCTGACTCAAGTTTGGCATTTGCCCGTGGTCACCCAGGCAGAGCCATCACTGAACACAGGTCTCTCTGATTCTAAATGCTGTGTTTGTTCCACTTTGCTACTTTGTTGTCCTACACCACACATGAAATGTCTTTTGGTCTAGAAGCATGGACAACATGAAGAAGCATAAAACATTGGAAAAGCTACTGGGATAGAAGCCAGAAGAAACAAGCTCAGAGCTCAACTTTGCTAATTGGGTGTCTTTTGCAAGTTAAAAAAACCACCCTGAACTCCTCTTTTTATGTGTAAACTATTGAGCTCTCTTAGGTTGTATTGATATTCCCTACAGTTCTAAATTCTAAAATCCTGACTTATTTATATTTAGTATTTCACAAACACTTTGCATGTGACACTGGACAGTCTTATTTTGTATTAAATAATACTATAGCAAGTTTCAGTATGTTACGATCTCAGATTGGTATAGTTTATCTTTAATTCCCTAAACTAAGTAAGTAAAACATTATTTACACATAATCTTTAATTGAAAAAGGACTTTTTGCATTTATATTGTTTTCTTGAGTCTTTTTTTTGTCTATGACTGTTCTAGAGAAACCTTTAAAATGTACTTGGAGTTAATTTTTAGATTCTTGAATGCTTCACTCTTCAGTATTACCAAGAACTGACCTTAAATGATGATTATTTTTATTATCATTAATTTCGCTGAACTTTTGTGTTATAATAGCTGCTCTCCTTTGGTGAAAAGCAGTGTGCGTTCATCAGTAAAGTTGTGGTACACGTGAGGCCAGTTTCGGCAAATTCTTCAGCGGGCTCTCCTGCACTAGGATCAAGAATAGACCTGGAGAGGGTCCAAACTATCATGGAGTCCATGGGGTCAAAGTTGTCATCTGGAGCTCAGCAATTGATGAATATGGTTATTTTCCAGCAACGGGTAAGTAGAAATGGATTTCTTTCCAGATACTGTTAAAATTCTTTAAATGATGTCTTCTTATAAGGACATGTAGAAACATAAATCTTTTTATTTCAACTTTTGTTATTGATTTAACTGTTAGCTTTACTAACTTTTCTAAAAATAACATTATGTAGACCTACTCTCTTGCAAAAAAATATTTCTACTACAGACTTCACAATTTTCCATGAATTCACTCATTTATTCATTCAGCAAGTATTCATTTAGCCCCTTCTTAGTGAATACCACAGTTTTGGTTACTTTAGAAGATTCAAAGATGAATTAGTCGATAACCTGTAGTTAAGGATCTCTGTAGTCTTGTTAGGGGAGTCAGGGCATCTAAGTGGGGAATGATGAGGAATGCTAGGAAAGGCTTATGAAAGGAAGTAGCGTTTTATCTAGGCCTTTAAAGAGGAAGGGTGGGGTTAGGCAAGTAAATTTGGAGGGATGCAACTTGAGAGATAGAGAACAGTATGGATTAAATCTTCAGTGCTAGAGGAATAGGATGT